AGTTTTTCAATATCTCTTACTTCCTTTGTTGATTTACTTCGCTCCGTCTTTCTCTCACTTACTTTGAATGTCTCTAATTCTCTAATTTGTTTAGTGTAGTTATTTTTCGCACACTTTACTTTGTCAATTGCTCTCTATTCTCAATTCTTCATTGTCGCGCTCTTTCATTTTCTTTTCCATCTTATTCTATCTCACTTCATTTTTTTCTTTTTCTATCTCTCTACATATTCCTTTTCTTTGTCTCTCCCTTTCTCTTTATCTTTTCTTCCACTCACTTCCTATCTTTTTCGATCTGTTTCTTCTTCCATTCATTCTACTACTTCACTAATATTTTCTTGTTCCCTTGTAACTCTTCCTTTCTTTCACTGTCTTTCGATCTATATTTTATTTCTCATTTCGTTCTCTCCTGTTCGTTTTCTGCTTTTTTCCTTTTCTGCTTTTTTCCTTCTCCGTCTCCCACTGCCTTTCTCTCTCGCTCCTTCTCCCTCTCTTTCTCACTCATTTTTCATTCTCGCTTTATCTCTCTTTCCCCCTTTCTCTATCGCTGTCTTTCTTTCTTCCTTTCTGTCTCTCTTTCTCTATCCCTCTTTCTCTACCTTTTCTTCTCTCCCCTCTTTCTGTATCTTTTCTTCTCTCCCCTCTTTCTGTACCTTTTCTTCTGTCTCTTTTCTCCTCCTCCCTCTTACTTCCCTTTTCTCTCTTTTTTATTCTCTCTCTTTTCTCTTCTCTTTCTCTTTCATTCTCCTTTCTCTCTTCTCTTCTCTTCTCTTCTCTTCTCTTCTCTTCTTTTCCCATCTCTCTCTCTACCTTTTCTTCTCTTTCTTCTCCGCTATCTTTCTTTCTCTCAATCTACTTGCCCCTTTCTCTTCTTTCTATCTCTCCCTCCATCTACTTGTCTAAATAATAAATGTCTCTATCTCTGTCTTTATCCCATTCTGTCTTTCCGCATCTCGATTCATTGTTCTCTCGTTATATCAACTATTATAAATCTCCGTCTGTCAGTTATTCTAAGCTCTTTCCCTCTCCTTCAATTACTTCAGTTATATTTATCTTTTTGTTTTTATTTATATCTTATCAGTATCACAAAAACCGAATATTTTTTTTCTCCATTTAGATTCTGTTGCATTGTTCCATTTAATTCCTTTTCTGCTTCATACTCATATTACCAAACTTACTTCTGTCAAAGTCTGTTCTTTATGTTTTCTATATTTTTACACCCCCCAAAATTAAATTCAGTTGGACTTTATCTTAAAAGACAACACAACTCAAATACAAAAACATATTCAAATTAAGTACAGTGCTATTTTGATTTGTCTGAAGTTTTAATTTGTTAAATACCACAAGAAAAGACCGAGTACACATAAATACCATCAGAAAAGTAAAATTCTGCACAGCTTTCAAAACTTTTGTGTGTTTAAAGTGGGGTTTTTTCGTTGTTATTTATCCCTGAAAACAGATGTTTTTTTATAAAGCATCCCATGTTTCTACAGCTTTTACGAGTTCTTGAAACAACAATGAAGATTAAATATTAAACACATCAAGTGAATGCTTGTATAAGGGAGATTCAACACTGCATTACAATGGTTTTTATATAATATAATTGAAGCTTCTAGCTTTGATATTTCATTTTTTTTTTGTCTTAATTTGTTTTAATTATCTTTTTAAAATGTATTATTGCACCTAAAGCACGCCATCACCGCATGATGAAAGTATAAAATTATAAAGTTTTTATATGCAATTTATGTAAATTATATAGAAAAAAGAAAATTTGTGTAAAAAGCAATATACCATATGGCAAATCTACTTATATGCATACGAGCAAAAATATGAGAGCTACTTACTTTTAAAGCTGATATTTTTTTAATCATTTGGACCCTTAAAAGTAATATGGATTACTTTAGTTTACGTCCATTACCAGCTCAAATAAAAAATTAGCATTTTAAACTACTTGCTTCTCTTTTAGTATTTTATCTTAAATATACACTATGTTTAATTATTGCATATAAGCTCTCTTTACACTTTTTATACATAAAAGCATATTGTTTTTTTTTTTTTTGTGTAATGATAGAATTAAGTATTGAATATGTTAAGGTAAGCGCAACTAATAACTACACATCAAAAGGAATGTCATAGTTTAGTGCCAGGAAAATCATATCTATGCTTGCATTATTTACGTTTCAAAATACTCAGACACATTGACTTTTCAACTCTTTCATATCAAGTCAGCAGCATTTCAACATCTTTCGAGTGCCACAAGTGCCAAACTTGCCATCTCATATCATTAGGAATTATTTCCAACACTACGTATAAATAGCATATGTCCTTGTTTGTAGCATTTGCTTGCTTTATGTAAACATGTGAAGTACGTTAATGTGTTTTCAGTCTTTTATGTCACTTTATATATGTCACTAACATCAACGATAAATTTCTAGCTGGTTTGCTTTTACAGCAAAATGCATTTACCAATCATTCCATTTCCAGTTCAATCCAACTAAAAATAGGCTTTATGTCTGCTTTTTATGGCATCAGAAAATGCTAACAAGCAAACAAATTTCCAGAGGCACACGAAAATGTACCCGTAGTATTTACCAATCCAACGTTACTACTGCTAAACGACGTACTAATGAAATTTATCAACAGACACGACTTAATTAAAATTTGGTTTTAAACAAAATGTAAGGCAATTTTAATGGTTTGTAATTGGCTTTGAAGAACTTTTAATTTAGATTTAATTATAATAAATGGTTATGTAGGTACCACTAGTTGTAATATCAAATATTTCCATTCTAAAATTCCAAAATATTGATTTAAATTTGATTTTATTATAAATTTTTAATTAATGTTAACGTTTATAAAAATATTCTCTAATGCTTATCTAATGATCTAATGATAAGCAATAAATTATTATATAGTTAGCATTTAATTATAATATAGTCAGACTTCTATAACTCGAATTTTCTATAACTCGAACTAAGTAGAGTGCAATAGGATTTGGAGAGCAAATTACACACAATTACAAATAATTTCTTTAACTCGAAGTCTCCATAAGTCGAGCCTTGTCTTTGCAAAATGATACTTCAAGTTATGGAGGTTTGACTGCATATTCAATATAACTATTTATACATGTTTTATAAAGCAATTACTCTTACCCTGCAAACAATAATTACGAAATAAAAAAATTCTATAGCATATTTTTAGAGCGTGAATCTGGTGAGTAGTTATTGCAATAACGCCGTTCTTTATTTTAGCGATAGCATTATCTTAATGTGCCATAATTATTTTCTTTTGTTAATCGAATTTTATTTTCCGAATTTTAACATTTAATTGGTCCAGTAGTTACAATTATAATCTGAGCTTTTTGTGTTTCCAGTTTAATCGTAATCTACCAATAAAGTTCTTTTTGCATTACGTATGCTTATAACACCAATTTTTGGTTAAGATCGCATTTCCAATTCACACCATTATCTTGTAGTTTTGAGTCACGATCAGAATTATCCATGAGATGAGATCAATGACATCATATTAAAAACACTGTTACTAACACAAACGCATTCGATTGTATTTTTATTATATTATTAGTTAATGAGGAATTCCTAAAAAAAAAAATGTACAAAATTTTTTGAAACCTAAGACTTGAATATTCAATCAACAATCTCTCAAAATGTTATCTTATATATTTAGTATTTGAGCTACTAATGATTTTTAGTATTAATAGGGTTTTTAAATGTTCTTGTACAACCAAATTTAACCAAACTATTTCAGTCATAAACCATTATTTTTTAAAAAGCAGATTCATCTAACAACTTCAGCACTTTGTTACTAATTTAGTTTACCTTCAGATCTTTTTAATAAAGAATTATAGTAAGACATTGCTTGAAGTGCAATTTTTCCAGTGTTGAAAAACTATTTTCAATTAGTTTAAAAACAAAAAATGAAGTGAGAGATTAAAATGAAAGTTTGTCTATGTAGTTATGCTAGTTGAAATATTAAAATGATGTCAAAGTCTTGGTTTTATTAGTAATAGCGCTATACGAATTTTTTAAATAACCTACTATTTAAAGTCACAACAAGGCTACAATCATAGAAAAAGTATGCTCACGATTTTTACTTAAAAAATTCAATTCTATAAAATCTGAAACATA